CTTCAAGCCCGACCCGTTGCTCAGTGTCGAACTGCCGGGATATCCTCAGACTCTTCCAGAGGATATGCGACGGTGGAGGACCAGTCGCGAGCGACCAACTCACGGGAGCTCTGTGGCCGCAAGTCACCCGTGAGCCCCTGCTCTTTCATCTTCTTGCAGGTCAGGTCCATGGCTTGCGCGCTCAGTGTGCAGCACTTCGTGTCCATGTGCCAATTGACCTCCACTGGCGAACAGACATTGTTGTCGTAGGCGTCGGAGGTAGTTGAGCCCACATAGCGAACTGCATCTGCAATTGACGGCTGGCGCCATTGGTAGAGGAAGTTGTTGTAATCAGCATAAACTTGCCTCTTGGTCTTCAGGTGCCAGTTGTTGATAATGCGGCAGACCTGCCCCCGCACAATGACGACGGGAGTGACCGAGCGGTTGAACACTTGGCCCAACCCGGGGTACACTGCCGGCTGCGAAGAAAGAGGCCCCGCGGAGGAGTAGACCCAGTGGAACTCGTATGTGTAGCCCACCTTCACATCCTCGCAGTAGCGGAATTTGTACGGATGGAGGTACCAGCGATGAATACCCTCCAGGCCACAGAAAAAGCCCGGTCGCACGTCCGGCATGGGGGGATTGGTCTTTTCGTTGTACTGGACCAGCCAATCAAGCTCATCGATCACTCCTGCGAGGTAGTGCTGGCAGTACTTCAGGTGGCGATAGTACGGCTTCAAGCACCAAAAATTCTTTGATGCTCGGCCACTCAACTGAGACCGGAATCGTCCGAAGCCCGTATCCTGAGGAGCGATGTCATACTCGCCGGGAGAGTAGTGCTCAGCACCCAAATGAAAGTGAAGATTCACCTGGATGAAGTCGTTGACGACCTCGCCGTCCACAGGCTCATATGGCGCCTCTAGGTCGCCAATGAAGGCGGGATCCAGGTTGCGAGGAGCCTGCGGCTGCGCGTTCGAGCAAAGAAGAACATCACTGGAAGTCAGCTCGGCCTCTGCTTCCATGGCAACGAAAGGTTCCGGGCTGTGCACTTGCATGCGCTGCGAGGCCACAATGCCATGGCACAGGCTGAAGGTTAGCACTCCTGCACGTGCGAGCATTGCCGAAGCGAGGAACGGTTCGTGAGCGCGGGGTCGTCGGGGCTGGGGCTTGAGCCTGTAGCAAAATGCTTTGGCATGATCCGGGAAGGATGACAGGTCAGAAGCGTGTTCAGAAGATGCTCGCTACGACTAAAGCCACTAATCTGTTCACGACTTGCTTGCTTTCCTCTGCGCAGCCCTGGTACCCATTCATGTCTCCCCCGCAACCCTGAACCCTGCAGTGCCCCTACGTCATTCTTCCCTACGTACTCGCCACGCTGCATCGCAAGGTGGAAATCCAGGTCC